CCGCCCAGGCCGGGGGTCGGACCTGAAGATCTACAAGGTTCCTTCCAACCCTACTGCTATGATTCTATGAAAGCATAATTATATGAAACCTGTTTAACTTATGCTGATAAAAATGCAGTGTGATATCATATTTGGTTTTAAGATGAAGTTTCCTCCCTAACTCTGGGGGGTGGGGTGGAAAACCCCTCATTTAGAGTATGGGGGGGAGGAGGGAGGTGGCTGCTGAGGCTCAGGCTCCAGCCCTTACCTGGGGTTGGGGCTGTAGTTGCAACTGCCACCTGTCCCTCTCCCCTGCTATATCTGCACCCTGCCATCTTCCCCTTGCAGCCTCTTGCCCACTCATTTTCCTCCTATCATGCAGCCTCTGCTCCTGTGCCTGCCCTTCTCCCTTCCCACCTTATCTTTGCTCTGTGCCAGCTGGCTCTGTCTATGCTGAATTCTGGGGCACTGAGCAAGGGCCCAACCCAGCCCCACAGTAGCACACAGCCTGCACAGCTGCTTTAGGGGCTGGGCTGGGGCCACATTCATCCCCACTTTTGGATGCAGCTTCTGAGGGCATTTCCGGCTGCATTTATAGGCTTGGTATTGTATGGATTAGAGCAGGGAGGTGGGATGTGTCTAGAAATGGGCATTAGTGGGATTTAAGGTGGAACATACCCTTAAATAAGAAAGTGAAAAGAGGGATATGAGAGAGAGATGGGGTGGGGGAGGAAGTCCATTCACTTTGAGTCTTGTAATTTTTTCATCCACAAGTTACTACTGGTCATGTATTTATGATAGAAATTTCCAAGAGTGGTCCCACCAAAATCTTCATGTACATTAAGACTTTTTCTTCTGAAAAAAAATGTTTTGTAGAGCCCACATACGTTTACTGATAGGTTTGCATATTTGATAAATAAAGTGTATCAGGTTCCAAAACAATTCAGGATATTTCGAACTCTCAGCAGGACTCTGGTTATGGAAATAAAACCTTCCCGTACCTTCACAAAACTAGTCTACACTTCAGACGCCATAGGGCCGTGGAAGTCTTTTTGAAAGGCAGACTAACAACTGTGCTCCATTGTCCCAACAGTACAATATAATCCCTAAAAAGGGGTGAGATGATCTCTAGTGGAACAGAATGCCTAGATGAACCTTTCACTGTGGAGGTTTGGCAACCCAAGAATATTAAGTTTTGTGCTTTTGTGGCCTTGGAGGAGACATTGGGGTTTGCTTGTTTTTTCTTCCACGGGAGAAAAATTATTATACAGTAAATGCAATGTGAAATCTGGAAACCTGTAGATTTTATTATGAAAGGTTAAAATTAGGGCTGTACAAAGCTTCGGGCGCTGATTTGATTCGAAGGAGATTTGGCCCATTTTGGCAGCTGAATCTCTGAAGCTGAATTGAATTAGGAGACCAATGGAAAGGTCCATCAATTCAGAAAAGATTCAGAGGGCATTGGCGCTTCGGTCAGTCCCTGCTTGCTGCAGCAGAGAGCTGGACCTGGACTTCATGTTGGTAAGTAGGGGGCAGGGGAGGGGGGAATAGAGGAAGGGAGAGGGGTTCCATGGGGGAACCCCTGCCCAGTCCCATCCCCTGCCTGCTTGCCTGACCCCTCCCCCCCATGGCTGCCCTGCCTGCCCCAGCTCCTGGCTCTTTAAAAAAACCCAAGAAACCAAAAAAATAAAACCACGCACTTGCCAGCTGCTGCAGCAGCCTCGGGACTTCTGGGGGCTTGTGGCAGAGCCCTCCACGTAGGGCAGTGGGGATCTCGTTCCTCCATCTGGCAAGAGCCGGTGACCAGTGAGTCAGGGGTTGGTTTTTTTTAAAGAACTGGGAGCTGGGAGAGCAGGCAGGGAAGCCATTGAGAGTGGGCAGGAGTGGGGCTGATTCGGAGATTCGGCTGCAGCTGAATCTCTGAATCAGATTCGGTCCAATCAATTTGGGACTATGGTTTGAATCACTGAGTCTAATCACTGTCCCCCGAATCAGCTGAATCCAAAGCGAATACTCACCACTTTGCACAGGCCTAGTTAAAATGTGTCCTTCAAATTTGGGGCACAAAGATTGGATCCAAAGACGATTGAAGTTGCATTAATAATATGTTAAATGACAAGGTAAAGAACGAACAAATGATTTTATTTAAACTTTTTGTAGATTCATCATGGGCTTAGTAGTGTGAGAATATTTATGAATAAAACTTCAGAAAATGTTTAGATTTAGGCTATAATAAATGCCTAGCATTAACAAACAATAAAAGGTTATGGCTGTCTTTAAAAATGCACCTTTTGAGTGAAAGCAGTAATATTTGCTGTATACTAGTTCACACGTTATCTCCTTTACCCTGAAAGCTGGGTAGCACTTTCTTCATACTCTCTGGCTTCATGTAGTTTTAATTCTGCTAATATAGGTGCATGCTGTTGAATCGCAGCCAAAAGTTGGACATCCTGCAGGTTTTCAGGATCTTTACATACATTTTTGCAACAATTCCTGTGGCTGTAGGAGTTTTATGATACCTGCTGTACACATACCAATTGTGAGAGACTATCACTACTTATTTTTTTATTGCTGCCTAGTCATTAATGTTGAATAATCAGTCCTCTGATTTTAGTAGGCTTAATGATGGACAGCGGTTTGTGTGATAGAAAGAAATAAAAACTGAAAAAAGGCTTCCCCCCAGTAGAGTAGGAAAATCGTTCTAATCTACCTTTATATTGCTAAATAGCAAACTGATCATTTTCTACTTTACTTTGATCTATGTAATTAGTGCATTATTTTTCTTGTTTACATCAGCATTTATCTGGGAATTGAAAACTATGCTACACCAAAGACAGTCTAAGAGCACTGTGCAACTTCACTTCTAAACAAAATGTTCTTTAAATTACTTTCATGTTTTAAATTTCAGTCCTATGAGGTACTGAGAATTCAGGGTCCTATTCAGCAGAGTATTTTAGCATAAGCATGGTCCTGCTGACTTACAGACATTTGTTTGTAGTTCTAGGCTTTCTCTGCTTTATATGCTCATTCATTGACTTACAATCCTGTTGATTTTTAGAGGGCAATAGTTTGGGAGGCAAAACAAAGAAAAACTCTCTCTACCAACAACTGGTTTTTTTTTTTTACTTGTAAAACTAGCTAATTTGTGTAGAAATATTTAAATATGGTAAACAGAAAACCTTGCAATAGTATCATGTAATGTCCCTATGTTTTATTGGGAAGTGTTTTTGTTGCAGTTTGCAGGCTTACCTTCCAGAATATTAGTTCAGAGCTGTGAACAGTAGCTTTTGAAGTTGACTCCTTGTTGAGTGGCATGAAACTTTAATTCATTGAATTTTGATTTTTTTTCGTTCAAATCCTGGATTAAAATGTTGTTACCATCTTCTGATCTCAATAAAAAATGTAGGCAATACCAGCTTTCTTTACTTTATGGATTTCTGACAAAACATGAAAATTAGACCATTTTAATTGGATCACTGTTTTTCTGTCCCATTCAAAAAGTAATTACATGGGCTGTCAAACTCTTCAAAACAGGAATAACCTTTCCTGAAAAAATGGTGGACAAGCTGATAAGAGACAGATGGCCATCTGTTAGTTAGAGCACTACTCTACTAGTCTGGAGACTTGAGTTCAGTTCCTTGCTCTGCTACAAGCTTAGTGGCATTTTGATCAAGCCATGTTATATTTCTGTGCCAAAGAGTGCGTACTTGCACACTAACTTTCTGACAGTTAAACCGACTTAAGTTTTTTTAAGTCGACTTAACTGTCAGAGCATACACCCTTATGTGGACCTGGGTCAACTGAAATGCAGTGCAAGATAATACACCTCTGAGATGCATTAGTTAGGTTGACTTAGCTCATAATACAAAATAATACAAGATGACTGCCATCCTATCCAGATGCTGTACATGCATACGCTCTGACTTGGCTTAACTTCAGTCAGTGTAGTTAAGTCAGCTTATTTATGTTGACTTAGTACATGTGGATGCACCCAAAGTTCCTGTGTAGAAAGTGGTCACGATAGTATCTCCCCGCTTCACAGCTAAGGGCACCAAGAAAACGTACATTAAATAGGAGAGTGGAGGGCTGGGAGACATAGTGGTGATGTGGGCTCAGCTGTCTGCTCCCTGACTTCCACTGGCACACTGCCAAAACCAGCAGCCCATGTCAGGCCAGGGCCGAGAGAAGTAGCAGTGGCACAAATGCAGCTGGAAGCTGCCAATCCCTGGCAGAGGTACAGACAAAGCCCTCCAGTTCTGTGGGTCACATCTGGCCTGTGGCCTATATGTTGCTGAGCCTTGCCTTCAAGTAGTATAGATATATAGTTATTTTAGTGGTGATTATGGAAAGCCACAGGCAGTTTTATGTAGCTTGTTTCAAGAGAAAAAAAATCTTTGTCTGTTTGTGGGAAGTTTCTTTTTACTGTTGTACTGAGAGAGCTGAGTGACTTGAATTTACTTGAATTTACAGATGATAAATTTTTAAATTTCACTCAGTTCATTTGTGGTTTTATGACTATTTCTGTTGTGGCAAGTACTTCTGGACTGATGAAACATGGCGTGTAGTGACAGGCATCATTTTATTCTACTGTTTGTTCTTTGCAGAAAGAATCCGCAGCACAAGATTGAATACAAGCATACTGCTCCTCCAGGTAATCTTTACTGTTCAAAACATTTAAATAAAAACAATGATATATATCTGCGAGCTAGTATGAAACAGTTTCAGCTTCTCTAATGGACTTGTAGACAGGAAGTTACAAATGAAACTTCAAAAACATTGCTGTTCCTAATACTGAATTTACCTGCAGCTATAAGCTGTAAAAGCGTTTGTTTTTCTGTTTTAGTTTGGACTTATTAAACTATTCCAGGTGTCTCTTACTTCAAATGCTAATATCATACCATCTGCATGCATAGCAGACAAACTACAACACCAAGCAGAGGTGATCACCAGGGATCTGGGTTTTCTGTTTCCCATGGAAAAACAGGGAAAAAAATTGGATTTTTCTTTTTAACGGTGAAAGGCATGGATTTTGCACTTCTGCAAAGAGCTCTCTGTAGGCTGGCAGAGTTCCGACCTGCAAGAGGCATGGGGGAGTAGGAGAAGGGTGATTAGGCAGTGGGTGCTATGTGCAGGTATGCCTGGAGACCAGCTACTGCAAGTAAGTCTGGCAGGGGAGGGAAGAGAGACTGAGGCTCCCATAGGGAGGGGGACAGTGAGTTGGGCAGGGCTTGGACTGCATGGGGCTTGGGATCTGGGACTGGAACATGTGGCTTCAGGGCCCTGGCAGGGAGTGGGACTACTTTTCTGGGGGTTAGCAGGGCTTGCTCCCAGGTGCTGCTGCATGTCCTTCTGGGGAGGTGGGGGGGACATGCCCCCAAGATCTGTGCATGGGGAGGGGGCAAGATGCCTGCTGCCCTCCCTCCAGGTCCTCTGTAGCACAGCAGCTGGGACTGCGCATGGCAGGGCAGATCGGGGCCATAAAGGAAGCTCTCTGCTACTGCAAGCTCTGCACCACCCTGGAGAAATGCCCCCTGCCCACCTGGCAGCAGTAGGGGTGGTGGTGCACAGTTGTGTCCCTCACTACTGCTGGGCAAGCATGGGATGGCATTCCAGGTCTTGCAGTGGTGCCAACGAGCTTCTCTGCTTGGTCCCACTTTGCTGCCACACTGGCTTCTGCCTGCTGTGCTGCAGATGCCCTAGCGGGAGGGCAGCAGGGCAGGGAGCCCAAGCGTGAAGCAGGCAGCCCACCCCCACCTAACACACAGATCTGGGGGGGCACGGATCCTCCCTGCCCTGGGAGTGCACTTAAGTGTATTTGGCACCAGGAAAACTTAAGATCAAAGTTGCTAGCAGTGTTTTTGAAAGAATTTGTATTTTAGGAAGTGGTCAGCAGTCTATTTAAAAAAAAAAAAAAAAAATCTATTCTAGATGTGTCTGTTCATGAATATAACGCCTTACAAGAAGACCAAACAACTTCTTTAAATGTGGAAAAGTACTCTTTATATTTTAGCAGTTTGATTGACAGTTCAGACTTCTCTGAATTTATACTGTTTCTCTGATGACAGCAGTTATTTCTTCAGGAACCGAAACAAGAACAACCCGCCAAAAAACTCATAGGAAAGGTCAGTATTTTCATAATTTTCTGTAAAGACCTAACAGTTACTATCAGGGATTTATTCTCATCGTGTGCAGAATACAAAGCAGGTTAAATTTTAGGTGGTTCTAGTTAGCAATGCTGAAAATACTGGAATGCTCAAGCTGTGCAATGGGCACTATTTTTTCTGTATGTGCTCTATTTAAATATAATTAAGTTGAATCTTTTCCCCAGATTAACAGACCTAGATTTTCTCTGAAAGCTAAAGCTTTGTTTTTACTTCCATGTTTGTGAAAGTTTAGAGAGAGACATTAGGCTCCTGCCACAGGTTACATACATTATGCAGTTAGCATACAGGCAATCCCTGCTTAATGCTCCTAATTGGTTTTGGAAAAACCCTGTGCTAAGTGAAACAGCGTTAAATGGAACCCGTTTTCCCATAGGTTTTAATGTAAATAAAGATAATTGTTTTTGCACCACCCACCCACCCAACTACTATGCCCAATGCCCCAAACACCGAGAATAACCATAACCCACTACAGTTAGAG